GAACCTAATCTGTCCTGCTATTTAACCTATACCTGGGGAGAGAAGAGATGGATTCATACATTTCCCAAGGGTATTTGTGTGTAAGTGAATGTAATAAACTCTAATGGAATTTGAACTTGGCTCTCCAATTTCTCATTCAGAGATGTAATCCATTACACAACCTGTACATCCTATTTTTAATTAAATAACCTACTAAATATGTGATATGGCAATATAAATTCTCATGTGGAGTCACAATACTTTTAAAAAGCTTGACCTGTGTTTAAAAATGACATGGCACAAAAACACTTTAATCATGACTTATGTAAATCAAACGTACTCAGAGGACAGTTTATATGTAAATTTTCACCCTCAATTTCATTGTGTATATTTTTTTATAAAACTTTTTTGATACATTTTTTTTTTTTTTGCTTTGTAAAGTATCACTTTGTTTATAAATTGATAATGAAAAGTGAAGCAAATTGTTTATTTTTTTTTTTTCAATATCTATAGATGCATGAAGAGTCAATCTTCAATATGATTGGTTTACAATATAGTGCTTTATGCCATCTTGGCTATGTCGAGGTGAATCAGATTGATTTTGGTATAGAATAGTCTTCTATTACTTTATTACAAATCGTTTGCTATCAGTTTGCCAAAATTTTTTTTTTTTTTTTTTTTTTTCATTGTAATTTAAAAGTATGTTGACTTCCATTGTTTATAAAATAAATGAATAGCTTCATGGTTTTAGAATAAATTTTAATTTTCATTTCAAAAAGAAATTATATGTAGACATTTTATTTGGATTTGAAAAGTGTTGTGTCTTCTGATTCTTTGATCTTGTGGTATCAAATCCTATGCTTTACCACTGAGATATTTCCAAATGCTCAATAGTTATTTTATTGACTTGGCTATATGAATGACATTGTAGGATTTAAATTGGCATAATATTAACAAAATGGGTTTTATTATTTTAATGAGTTTCTATTTGCTTTGGGCAATCTTTGAATACAATGCAAATCAGAAAAGAATAAAACTTGGGAAAATTTTTAGAGACATAAAATATTTACAAGGCTATTCAAAGCTAAAAGCAGGATTAAAATCTTTCTGAAAATGATTGTATAGGATCTGTTTGATCTGATGTGGGAGAATTGCAAGATGCCAAGTGCTGGTGTTTATGAGTAAACATTAGGCAGACATTCAGAATACCTTTGGTTAAATATTTATTTTTCTTAAATGTTAAAATTATTCTGATAGTTTGGATTTTCTGATTTATGCTACCACCAATATAAAATCAATGTTAGTTAATAACTCATTAGGTAAAATATTATTATTATTATGGACTTGTTAATCTTCTTTTAGTTTCTTCACTATATAGAATTTTGAAAATATTACATTCAATATTTCTTAATTTTTCCATCATAAAAACATAAAAAAACATTTGTTAGTTTTGCAAACAGTTCATTTAACTAATTGTTTCAATCTACTAACCAACTGAACCAAATTTAATGCCATAAAATTTTTCAGCCAATATAACAATATCAACATCACAATTGAATTCATTCAGTCATAAAACAAAAGCTGGTATTCTTTGTTACTAAGGTAACTGATTGTCATGTTGAAACACTGATTACCATACAATCACTGAAGTTAAGCAACATAAAACCTGGTCAGTACATAGATGGGTGACTTTGACAATACCATGTGCTGTAAGCTTGGATGTGCAAGTGGTATAATGGATAATGGCTCAAAATTGTTAGTCTAAGAGCTGTGTTCCAATTCTTGTTGGGTTTGTTATATTCACTTATGTGCAAATACCCTTGGGAATCCACCTTTTTTTTTCTCCTCAGATATGAGTTAATTAGTAAGACTTGTATCACTAAACCATTACTATATCCCCCACAAATTCTTACAAACTAAAAAATATTTTCTTTTTTAAATAACCTGCAAAAGGTTAAGACCAAGAAAAATGAATAAATCATTACTGATTGACTAATGAACTGTTTATATTAGGGTACATAATACCAATATCATATCAAGCTACTATTTGATATCAGATTAAAATTTTAGTTAGTATTTTGAAGATGACATTGCTGTTTCTCAAATGTTACTGTCAGTCATTCATCCATTGTTATACAAATTTTGGTACTATTTGAAGAATAAACTGCTTATCTACTTCAAAGTTTGTTAATTTTATAACTAACAATTGATGTCTTCTATAATTCATTATTTTCTTTCAGGAGTTTATTACCTTAAACTAATATCCTCATCAACACTTTGAGATATCTGTAGCTTATTAGCAGAGTTAATGTAAAGTAGATTATATTCTTTTGCAGATAAAATGTTAAACTTCATTTTTATAAGATGGAATAATTGCAGAATTTGGAGAGCAATTGTTAAATGCATGATTTTTAAAGACTTCACGTTTTCTTCTGTATATGGCTGTTCATTTCCAGGAATAGTCATCTACTAGGGTTACTAGCTAATCTCTGTTGGATGTAGAAAAGGAACTTAGTGCAGATTATGAGGATATGGAGGATATATAACAGTTGACCCCTAGATTTGAAGAGGTTAAGATTGTAGGACTTGTGGAAACATTCTTTTGGGAGTATTTCATAAGCAGCTCTGGGAAGATGCTACCTGATTGAAATTTTTTGTTCTTACTAGTAGAATAAGGATTGTTTGTCCCTTTGTATATGGCAGACATTCAGAATAACTTGGCTTAGTTGGTAGAACTAGGAAATGTAGGTAGTTAGAACATTATCCATTGAAATAATGAGAGTAGCTAGACTCTTGCGATGTAGCATCTATGGAAGTGGAGTTGTAGGGTGGAAAAATAATTCCTCACCCACAAAGCTGTGTAAACACTTTTGAACTTTATCTGGAAAGTGAGGATTGGGCACCTTCCACCCAGATATGGCAGCCATACTCCATTTTTGGTCTTATCTGACACTTATAAAGTTAAGTATTACAGGTGAAAGGTACTTTCTAGAGTGATATAAGGTGCTGACTGTTTTTCTCTGTGTTTATAGTGATAGATTGTATATGAGAGTTGAGGTCTGGGGTGAAAAGATACTCAAAACAAGGAGCCTCATTGAAAGTGCAACCATTCATTGTGACTGAGAATTTATGGTCAGTTCGGTGATGATGAAAGTTACTAGCTTAGGTTTTAAAGTAGCTATTAGGTGAATTTTATTCTTAAATGTTTGCACTATCAAGAAGCATTGTCCTAAGTGCATTGACAAGGAATATTGAAAAATATTTGCTGGATAAAATGCTTCCCTACTACCATCTTTATAATACCATTGATCTTTTTAAAACCTTTGTAAGATCATTAATACTATCAAGATTTTATGTTATAGATGAGACTTTGTATATTTTAATACATTGTTAAAAAGATCTGTTCTAAAGCTTGGTTCGATTTTCATACTTAGAAAAAAATTTTTTCATAAAAGTAGAAGGCTTACAGCCATGTCAGGTTGAAACACTGGTTCTTGTCCAGACACTGAAAGTTAAGCAATGTTGGTCAGTAGCTAAATGGGTGACTGCATGGGAATGCGCAGGTGTTGTAACAAGAAATTTAAAATGCCTGGTTTGAATTCCAGTTGGGTTTGTTATATTTGCTAATGTGCAAATACCACTGGGAAGGGTATGATTTCACCTCTTCTCCTCCCATCTATGGGTTAAACAGTAGGACTTGTATCAGAAAATCATTATCTCCAAAAACTTCTTAGAATCCAAAAATATTTTGACTCTAAATAAAAAGGTTAAGCAAGAAAAAAATTTTTTTTTTTTTTTGTCTGTTGGATGTTGCTTTTTTTTTTTTTTTTTTTTAATTTTAATTTAAAACCAATTAAAAATGTTTCTAACTTCTTTGCTTCCTTTCATAAGATATATTCTTTTACATTAATTTCTAAATTAACAACCCTTTCCTATGCTTATTAAATGTGAAATGCCAATGACTGATTTCTGTATTGTAGAAAGCAGTTACAAACTAAGAGCATTCATATAAAATATTATCTACATGTGTGTGTACAATAAAGTAATGCCCACTTCATGTAATGTAGATCTATTAGTTGTCAATAGGAAAATATTCAGGCTTGTTGATAGAGAAGGGAGTAACTGCCAGAAAATAATTCCCCCTCCCTCCATGAAAATGATGTAAACTAATTCTAATATAAAAGATTTTTACTTAAAGGCCAGCACTTCCACTTAAAACACTCTGATCAGCAAATATTTTATGAAAAAATGCAAATGTAACACTTATTTGTTTTTTATAATGTAACAAGGAAATAAACTTACTAGCTTTTAAAAAATCTCTGGGTACTGTAAGCCACATCTTACAATAAATAATCCACAAAAGGTTGATAAACCATAAAACACAAACAAATCAATTAATCTTAAATATGTATTATGCAAGATTAGGACTTTCATTTAATTGAATTAAGTAAATAAATAACAGTTAAATGAAGAGAGAACATCACATTTTCCTAATATATTCAAAGATGCTTATCAGTCTGTCAAAATCCTCTGTATTTCGGGTTCTGTATGAAAGGGAAGTAATTAAACTGAAAGCACTTAACTTGCATGTGCTTCTATTGGACAAATATTAACCTCCTTATGAACTGACCATATTGTCACATAATTTTAAAACATGTAATGTAAATTTATCATGGATACAAAATTTAAAAATTCTTTTTCTAATAGTTTTTTTTTTTTTATCTTTGACTTACCTTGTGGTTCTTAACATGAAATTTCTCCAAACCTACCCATATTTTCTTTTTCATTATTATATATATATATATATATATATATATATATATATATATATATATATATATTATATAATAAAATTATTCCTAATAAATTGCTGAATGACTGGCTGAGAATTGTGCTTTGTGATTTTTCTTACCAACCCCCAAAACCATCATTGTTTTTTCTTGCATGTTTATGTTCAGTTCTCTTCTAAAACTTGATAGCAAATACTTTAATTCAGGTGACTTTGTTTTGTTTGCTTACAGATCCAAGCCACCCCTATCTCCAACCAAGTGAATACTATGACCACTGGTCAATCTCTCATCCACGGTAGTACACCCCTTTCACAGATAGGTGTAGTTGGCGCACCAACTATTGCTACCAGTTCTGGTTCATCAACTCCATGCACAGGTATATTAAATTTCTTTTTTGTTTTTTTTATACTTAGTTTATTTTAATCTTTATTTTTAATATCATTTTAAAATATTAATTTAACTTAGTATTCTGTTCAAGATGCCGTAACAAAGAATTAAGAATGTTTGTTCATGTCTTTTCAGTAAACAGAAGAAAATCAGTAATCACCACCAAATGTTTAAGTAGTTTTGCTTAAATGTTTAAATTCTCCTCCCCATAAAGAATGAAATGATTGAAATAAGTTCTTACCTTATGAAGAATAGGAAACTAAGAAATGAATTGGTGGAGTATGTTAATTACTATATATTTCTGAGTATAATACAACCTTTAAATCCTCAAAATCACCCTTAAAAATCAATCAAATCACTGAAATTTATGACCTATACACACATTCTGATTGATGTTTTAATGCACATTTTTATATGATTTATGCTTGGATTTTAAATGTTTTTACATTAAAAGTGAAAAAGAACGAAAATGAGATACATTTGTCATTTGAAGCTTTTCTAGAATGAAAAAAATGCTATACAAACAGTAAAAAAATTGTGCCATCTATGGAGATGGTATCATAGCTGAAAGAACTGTTCAAAAATGAAAATTAAAAAATTATGTAGGTCACATGGCATTGCAGAAAAACTCTATATATCTTGTATGAGCAGTGTAAGACATTTGGCTATATAAATTGCTCTGATGTTTTGTTGCATCACAATTTAATGGACAACATTTCCATCTGCTATTCTCTGCTCAAATGCAGTAAAAACAACACAATTTTATAGAGTGACCACAGGTGATTACAACAAGGAGTAAGAAATGTACTAGGGAAAATGTGATGATATACAGTTAACCTCTTTATCCATAGGTTGTTATGCTCCTGCTGCAAAATCAGACATTGAATTCAGACCAGTATTGTTCTTAGTAAATGTAGCAATCAATGTTTCCAGAATTGGGCAATCAGAAGGTTATAGTCTTTCATTCAGACGGCGCCAAACCTCATGTCTATTTACAGACTCAACGGAAATTGGTACCAACTTGGTTGGTATGTCCTTCTACACATGCCAGGCTCACCTGACCTTGCACCTTTCAAGTATTACTTATTTCTGTTCCTACAAAATTCACTTATGTGGAAAAAAAATTCCATTTTCTGGAAGCTTATAAAAACCACCACTTAGATGTGATCATAACTCAGAAAGATTAAAAGTTTTGGAAGAATGAAATCCTGAAGCTGCCTCAAAGATGGTGAAAGGTATTGGAACAATCGCATATATATGTGATTGAATAAATCTATATATGTAAATGTAAATATTTGAAATTCACTTAAAAGTGTGACAAGTTTTTGTTCTGATCCAATAGTTGGAGTTTGGCTGATTAAAGAGTAGTTGTCCCTGTTTTTATTAGCAAATGATTATAATATAAATTCTTCAAATAGGGAGTGATATGATATTGTGTTAAAGGCTGCCTTTCACAACCTTTAATAAAGTAGAATTAAATGAAATATGAAAACTTCTGAATGCATTTTACCTAGATAATACCAACTGGAGATTATAACTGTAATTACAAATCTGCTAAAATCTCTTTGTATTTAAATATTCTTTTTTTTAAAGATGAGTGTTTACTCTAATTTATTTTCCAAATATTTTAAATTGTAAAGCTAAGCCAATTACATAGTTCTACATGAAGTTTAGAAATTGATATTTTTTGCTTCTGCGTGAATATTGATGTCTACTATTCAGGAATAAAATCAAATAATTAGCATGGTCTACACTGATTTGCAGAAAAGACCAGGAGTGATCTTTTCTATACATCAATGTAGCCCATGAAAGTTATTTCCTTTTAAAACCTGTTCTTATATGAATGGGGTATTGAAAGATGTTGGCCTGACCTACTTATAAAAAGATGCTGAAAAAAAATTTTGCCCTAACCCATTTCTAGTAATTGTGTCAAATATATTTTTTGAAGGGTATTTTTTGAAGGGTATTTTTTGATTAAAAGTCCTCACTTGTACATTGACTGAATTTGTTCTTAAAATTTGCCAGTTTTAAAAATTGAATTTAAATTTATGAGCTATCTGCATAAATTAACCCCCATTTTTACCATTTATATTTTTGTCTGGTTATATGATAAAGGTATTTTTAACCATGAATATCTAGTTTTGGAAACTGGATACAATAAAATTACTAAAACATGTGCCAGGCCCAACTGCTAGTGCTGTTGAAGACTGAGTCCTCATCAGAACTGAATTTGTTTCCTCTTGTTTCAAACTCATTATCAGTCAAGAATAGCCAGCAAAATCACTTGAGCATTTATAAGTCTTTGCTTGGTTGTCATGGTATTGAAGTTCAGTTAACCGCTTTCTTGGATCAAGGATTAAAAATGGCTTTGAGCAAATGAGGCCTGTATGTCTTAGCAAGAACCATCTTTGAATTTTGTGGAGTAGTACTACAGAATTGTAAACAAAATACTGTATGAGATAACAAAAACCCTGTGTCATGCTTGTAGACCATCCAGTTGCAAAGGATGTATAAATATATAACAGGATTCAGAAGAATCAATATTTTTTAATGTTGATAGTAAAAAGTTAATCATTTGTTGCCTTGTGGTTGTGTATTTCTCTTGTTGGTGCTCAAATCCAGAGAAAAGGTGGCATTTAAAATTTTCTCTGTTTTAGATAGGTAAATAAACCCTCCCCTATTGAAAGATTTGTTTGACATAAACTTCCTGCTTCCATTTTGTCTTATTAAATATCTTGGTACTTTATATTGGTATATTAACTTTAAATAATTGCAGTGTCAGCACAAATTGCTTCCATTGCTACAAATTCACTTTCCCAAATTGGTTCTGATGATGAGGACATATTGTGTAAAAGAAAAACTAAAAGAGGAATTTTACCTAAAACAGCCACTAAAATTATGAAATCTTGGCTCTTCCAGCACATTGTGGTAAGTATCATTTTTAAAAAAAAAAAAAGGAAAAATACCTACATATTATAATTCTGATAGTTCCTTAGTATGTATGTTGTGTCCTACCAATACCTTATAAATAATTGTCTATTCCATTTTGATCATAAAAGACCAAAAAGATATGCTGTTTGGTTTCAATGAGAAACAGAAAGAAAGAGAAGATAAAGGAGATGATAATGCTCTCATGTGTTTAATGTCTGCTTCAGTGAAATGAAAAAAAAGTATTAATTGCTCAAATTCTAGTAACATGTAAAACAAAATACTCCAGTTTTTTTTGTTTTTTTTGTGTATTTTACTATAATTATTTCTTAAGCTATTTTAGTTTTAGTTTTACATAACTTATTTTATTATTACACCATATTCTGAGAATTTGAAAATAATTGTTTTTTTATTATTGATTTCATTCTACATGGCTGAATGTCAGTACAGCATTCCTTTAATAAATTTGCCAAAAAGGAAAAGTATAATTTTCTTTTCCCATGAGATTATTTATGACTGTATGTATAATTGTAAATTTTCCTCAATGTGTGAGATATCAGAATTGGCTTGAAGAAATTTTATATTGATAATAATATAAGGAGGTTCTATAAGTGTCTTCATAAAATCAGACTTCAGAATTCTACAAAAACCCTGTCTTTAAATAGTAGTGAGGACTCCTGAAATATGCACTGAATATCTAAGGTTGTAGGTAGCAACGGAATGATCCGCTAAACAGAATCAGTGATTTTTACAGCTTTGAAACTGAGATGAAAGGGAATAATAAGTAGTAGTAGTCTTGGAACAAAGTACTACTAACCTCTGATGAGATTGGAACTCGTGCTGCTTATACAAAAGCTTCCCATTTCATGTAGGCCCCCATGATGCATACTGCTTTTTGAATTTTTTATATTTTCTGCTGTTGTCTTTCTGCTTTAGTCAGTTATTTTGTTTATTATTATTGTAGATAAAAATGTTTGTACTTTGTGATTTAGAATTGATTGCTTTGAATATATATCATGTGATGTTATGGAACAACAAGCATTATTTTTGTTTTTTAATCATTATCAAAAATGCAGGACATATTGAACCAAAATAATGAGATGATGAACTAAAAATTCATGGAAAAATATAACTGACTTTCAACCATCTTAGAAGTAGTCCTTTGCTGTTTTTATACTGGCTTACAAAAATTACTGCTCAAGAAATGTTGTGGCAAAAGTCTGCACTACATTTATACATGTTATTCAAATTTTTGTGTCAAGCCTTTTATGCAATAAAAACAAAGCATTGAGTAATTGAAATCTCTTGTTATAAGTTTTTGAAAGTACTAAGATATTAATTTTGATAAGGAAATGCTCATTAAAGATAAAAAGAATTAAGAGCCTATTAATCAATTTACAATTTTATTAAAATAAATTATATTCATCTTTTGCATATTTATACTTAATTGTCCTATCTTCTTTCATCACCAATAACATTATTGCAACATTCACATATGTGTTGTAACATTTTTTTTTCTATTTTTCTTTATTCTTTTTTTTTTTTTTTTTTTTTTTCCTTTTATAATTGTCAGGTTCTCAAAATCCATAAATAAAGACTTGCACACTTTCAATAAGATTTTGCCTCATAACTTGTTGCATATTTGAAA